TGACCGCTGAGACAGGTGGCGCTGTGATTACAGCGCCACGGTCTCAGTGATCACACAGAGCAGACGAAGAAAGTCTGTTCTTCGTCTGCTCTATGGTGATCTCGATCGTCGCCGCTGCTCGGTTTTAATACAAGTGATCTCATTAGATCACTCGTATTGAACGAGCAGTGGCTCCTACTGCTGAACGTGATCGCCGCCACCACTGCTCGGCTTTAATACGAGTGATCTCATTAGATCACTTGTATTAAACAAGCAGTGGCTCCTACTACTCGCCCGGCGCCCGAAACTGCATGTCTCGGGCGTCGGGATTCGCTCCATAAGACGCAGGCACATTTTACCCCTCCTTTTGGGGGGAAAAAAGTGCGTCTTATGGAGCGAAAAATACGGTAGCATTTATTTTCGTCAATAACTAACCTACCTGCTTGAAATTTTCTTTTCCCAGTGAAATTTCACTTTCCCTTTATCACACCTTTAGAAATGTTTAGTAATGACAATCTACAAACAGACACTTCTAGATAATTGCCGGCTTTTTATACTTTTTTTTTCTTTTCTTCCCCAGTCTTCTGACAGTGGCCATTTTTGCTAAGGGCAGATTACTAGATCTCCTTTTACTACCTGAAACTCGGGCACATGTGACTAGGACATGTGACCATGCTCATCATCTCAGGGGAGGAAAATTCCTCTCAGTAGATCTCATGAGATTACAGATGAGATTTCCCAGCAATGCTCTGCTGATGTAACCTTCCCAGGATGCAACACTTGGGCACATTACATCACTTGTGCCCAAGAGAAACAGGAATCGGATAAACTATTTGTAATTTAATTAAAAAGCAGCTAGCAAATTGTTGCTTTCCCAGTGCTGTATGTGGCCCTACATACGTTTCAAAACACTGAAGGGATCATTTGCCTCTAATAAAATTAAGGACTATTCTGCATAGCCATTTGAGAACTGACCATACATTTACATTGACCTGTATAGAGTAATAAAGCAAAGCACAGAATTGTCTCAAACTGACCTTAACTGCTCTCAAAAGCCCATACTACCCCTACTGGGCCAATTAAACTATGTGATGGAATTCAAAGTGTATTAAATATAACCAATTACCTGATGAGATTTTATTTTATTCCCTTCATTACTTTAAGCTTATTCAAACTTGTTTACAGTGCACGCTTTTGTTAACCGTACATAACTGCACTTTGCATAGCCTTAATAAATGAGACATTCAATGTCCACTATTGATGTGACATTTCAGCATGGCCTCAAGCTAAAGCGCACAATACATACCCCCACTTCTAGTTCATCAGGTTCTTCCGGTAAAGTGATGACCTGTTAACAAATAATAGTTACTATTATTGACACAAACACTTGCTGCATTTCAAAAAAAAAAATTATTAAAATGAGAACACAACAAAAAAATAATAATTTGGCAGATCACAAATAGGACAGCTGGTACGCCTGTGCTACTTTTATCTCCCAGCTCCTGCCTCAGAAACCTGAAATGATGTCTCTTAAAATTTGTCAAGCCAAAACCTTTCTTTCTAGTTTTGGATAAAGTGAGGAAGGATTAGAAACCCTGTCTTTTTCGACTGCTATACAGGGCTTCCTTAGACAGGAAGTGTCTAACAAAACACATACAGAAAAAAAAAATCTGACAAGGGTTCTAGGTTTCCCCACCTAATGAAAAGTATTTTTATTTCTCTCTGTGTTGCTGTTGGAAATTTCCCATTTCTTCCTGTCTGATTAAACATTAGCAGGAAGTGAGGATAAATCTGGAGCCCCAGGTAACAGTTAAAACCCAACAGCGGTTCTTATCCCTTCCCTCTCTATACAAAATTAAGAAAAAAGTTTGCAATGGACATACACTTTAATTCACTTCTTTTCTGATTCATCACACAAGGGAGCCTGTATTGTGGAAAGATTCCCTGTTGAAGTCAATATGCAAGCCAAGTGAAGAAAAAGAACACCTACTGGTGAGTTAAATTTTGGGTCTGGCAACCTAAACATCTGTATAAGAACCCATTTTCCCAAGTATCACCTCTGCCTAAAGGTGGCCATACACTCTACAACCATGGCAAGACTTTAGTCTTGCGATGGTTGTACAGGGATTAAAAAAAACGTACGATCTGCCTATCTTGGACAGGCAGATCGCACTCTCGATCATCGCAAGCCCGCCCCCCTGAGGGGCGGGCTTCCGATGACCGCAATGCTGAACGGGCAGTGTGCGCGTGCGCACACCGGCCCGTTCGGCATTTGTCTTCCGAGCACCGTTCTAACCAGCCGAGAATCGTACGATGCTGGTTCGACATTAGACGTGCGACCGTACAGTAGAAACGGTCGCACGTCTCCGTTCACACTGCTCGATTATCGTACGAAAAACCGATCGCATACGATTATCGTACGATAATCGTGCAGTGTATGGGCACCTTTACACTTAACATGACCCTAGCACCCTACCAATCTCTGCCGCTAACTCTTAAGCCACTCCCTAAGTATAAGATTTCAGGGTTCGATTTAGGGACTAGGCTAACAAAGAGATTTACCAAATCCCTAAATGAACCCCCTACTGCTAACCATACTAACATTAACAAGTAAAGCTTCAGCAAAATTGTTTTTTTTTTTTCTTCTTAGTTAAAATGTTTGCACACCCTTGGAGTATTGGTAATATATGTACTATTTTTAACAAAAAAAGCTGGCAAAAAACACATTTCTTTTATTTCTTATGGGATTTATATTCAACTGTAGCTCATAAGTGAATGGCACAATCGCAAAACAAAACATGGCAACAAATACAAAAATAAAATGACCCGTTTAAAAGTCTGCATACCCTTAGTTCTTAATACGGTGTATTGCCCCCTATTGTAATAGCTGTCTATTAGGCCCCCGTATTCTTGCAGGTGCCTTTGATGCTCACCCCCCAAAACATCAGTGAACCACCACCATGCTTCACAGTGGGGATGGTATTCTTGTCACTACAGGCCTTGTTGACCCCTCTCTAAACATAGTGCTTATGGTTGTGACCATAAAGCTCTATTTTGGTCTCGTCACTCTAAATTACAGTGTGCCAGAAGCTGTGAAGAGTATTGAGGTGTTTTCAGGCATATTGTAACTCGGCTTTTTTGTGGCATTGGCACAGTAAAGGCTTCTTTTTTCTGGCAACTCGACCATGCAGCTAATTTTTGTTCAACTATCGTCGCATTGTGCTCCCTGAAACAGCCACACCATCTTTTTCCAGAGCAGTGTGTATTTCTCATGAGGCTACCTGTGGGTTTTTCTTTGTATCCCGAACAATTCTTCTGGTAGTTGTGGCTGCAATCTTTCTTGGTCTGCCTTGGCCTGGTATGAAGAGATCCACAAATGTTTCACTTCTTAATATGTGTTTGAAGAGTACTGACTGGCATTTTTAAGGCTTTGGATATCTTTTTATATCCTTTCCCAGTTCTGTTCTGCTCCCCATGGCTCAGTATCTAGCCTGCTCAGTGTATCCACATGAGAGCTAACTCATTGACTATTTATTCACAGACGCTAATTGCAATTAATTGCCATTTTAACCTGTGTGTATCACCTTGTGTGTCTGTAACAAGGCCAAACATTCCAGGGTATGTAAACTTTTGATCAGGGCAATTTGGATGGATTTCAGTTTTTTGGCATGAAGACAGTTTTTTTGGCATGATCTGTCATAATTTCCATATCAATGCAAAAATTTCACAATTTCTGCCAGGGTATGCAAACGTTTCAGCACACCTGTAGTGATAGTGCTTCGCACACTATTCATTTGCCTCAGTCCCTGTCCACAAGGAGCTTACAATCAACCAATTAACCTACCGGTATGTCTATAGAGAGTGGAAGGAAACTGGAAGTACCTGGAGCAAACTTACACAAACACAGGGAGAATACAAACCTGACAGAGGTTCTAACCTTTCCCAACTTTTCTAGAAAAATCATACTCCCCTAGATCACTGGAGGCTTCAGTTGTACAGCTGTCCCGGAAGAATGAATGGGCCAGCAGCATGCATGTGCAGTAGGAAGAGATACTGGCCATTCCATTTATGGGTGCAATTAATCAGTATTATTATTTGGTTGCTTGGTAGCTAAGGCTATATGGTCAAGGGTGTACAAGCATATTGCCATTATTTTAGAACGCCCACTCCTTGCAGATACATGTGAAGTTCTTTTAAATAAAAAGCCTGAAAATATTTCAATCATCAGTTTAGTCTGTTAACCTTAATTTTAACAGTGACTAAACATACCATAGCTAAAGCCTGGAAGCTGAGGACCTTGAGTTTTCATGAGGTTAAGGAGAATGAAGATTATGAATTTGAAAAAGATGACAGCAAAGCTTGTGGATAGAATGCTTAAATCTGATAAAATATGGACCCCTGGATTAAACATTTTTTGCTGCCCACTTTTGATAGGAGACATAGAGATATGAATGAACAGGCAAAATGGGTGAGGAGCCCCTCTTTGGACCTATATCATTAGTTTTCTTCTCCCTTTTTTGTTTGTGTTGCTGTGTATTGTTTTATTTTTCTGGTTGTTTGTGTATATGTTATTAATGTAAGGCTTGATTTGTGGGTCCATCCAGGGTTTGGGGGTCAGGGATGGTCCCAGGTTGGAATAACTGACACCGGCTCTAAAAAAAAAAAAAAAAAAAAAAAAAAAGGCACAAAAAAAACCTCGGGTAAATGTTGTGTTTATTGCATTTGCTGCTCTATGGGATTAATGTTATATTGTTACACAGTGTGTTTTGTAAGAATTAGTAATGTGAGCGCTTTACAAGCTGGTGTTTATTGTTGTATATTGTAGGCCTGCAAAAACAAATAGAAATAATGAGAATTGTTGTCAACGATTATCGATTAGTTGATTCCACCACCCGCCGCTGCTCTGCTCCTCCATTGTCCTCCCGGCTGGGAGATGCTGCGGTCTGTGTCCCCTTCGATTAGATTGTATTGGATGGCAATGTCCCATTAAAATGGATCATTGATTTACAACAATGGTGTGCTGGTGACATTATTTCCTTGTTCTGTGTTATACACGGTGCCTACCGTGGTCACTACAAGCACCCACCCAGTCTTTGGGTTTATTGCGGTAAGGAGTGCAGCAAGATATTATTTTTATCTTCGATTAGAGGGGACACAGAGCACTGCAGCCGGTGCCCCGTGGGGAATGGAAACTGCTGTGCCTTTGCATTCCCCCCACTGCTATGCTCAGTACCTCTGCTGCTGCCCCTGTGCCTACCCTGGCAGTAGAAAGCTGGCATCAAGCCTCCCATCCAGCAGCTGGGAGCAATAGCCAGCTGCTATTGGCCATTTTAAACTGCAATAGCCAATAGCAGGCTGGCTATTGCACATACCCACTGCCTGATATCAATCACAGAGGAGGATCTGAAGGATAACTTTCTCCTTCAGTACCCTCCTCTGCTAATTGACAGCAGGCAGTGGGCGGGTGCAAAAGCCAGCCTGCTTTTGGCTATTGCAATTTAAAATAGCCGGCTGACCTTTTTGGTGGAGACCAGGCCCTGTGCTATCAGAGTGACCTGCGACACTGTTGTGCATATGTTTGTATTGTTTTTTTCTTTGATGAAAATTTATAAAAATATTTTGAAACTAAAATAGACGGCTGGCTATTGCCTCAGCAGGAAGATGTCATTTCCCAGTGAAGTGGAAAGGTGACACTAGGGGTCTAATAGACCCCTAATGTCACCTTAAAGAGAACCTGTCACCTCCAGTGTGCTATCACATGTGCCATTTCAATGGCACCTCAAACGTGCCTCCCTTCCGCAGTGTGATTGCCCAAAATGGTACGCACAGTACCACAATGCCGTGCGTTCCAGTGCAGTGCGATTGGAAAAAATGTGCATGCAGTTTTATTCTGCAGTAAACTTTGTAGCACTCCATTTGTGCATTTTATTTTAAATAAAAAGATAGTATTTAATTTTTTTTTTTTATCGACTTACCGAAAAGAATCGTCCAACAAATCGATTATGAAAATAGTAGTTAGTTGCAGCCCTAGTATACGGTCGCAAAATCAATAAAATACTGTTAAAGAGGAGGTACCAGCCAGACGTTTTCTGTGCATGGCAGAGTTACACAGCAAACATCACTGGATTGGGGCTGAAGGAAGTATGTAACCGAGTGGTCTGCACTCAGGGGAGCGGGGAAAAAGGGCAACTTTAGCAAAGGTGAAGTTGTCCTTTGAACTTGAAATTCTAATGCCTGACAATAAAACCAAACTACAACTTAACCTTTAACTTTCTCTGTAAGACTAAGTTAACCCATGTCAACTGAACTAAAAGCTTCGGGACCAATACTGTCTCATGTCAATGTCCTAATATTGGCACCAGACTTGATACAGCTAGAGTGTAGAAAACCTGTTAGGGTCTTGTTGATACATCTTTGTACACAATGCGACAGTCAATCCATTTTACTTTCAAGAACCCTTTAAGATTAATGAATATACCAGATATTTTAAATTCTTTTATCACATAATTGAATTTGAGCCTCATGGATTGGATACAGCCCAATATGTCATGGTGACACAGGTATGCTCAGTGCTAGATGTTTTTACATGCAGATGAAATTCCTGAGTTTAACACCTGCCTAGCCTTTTAGAAAGCAGTGCATATGAGATTCTAATATCTCTGGAATTCAAGTTTAACAGGAAACGCAATGCAAGCTACACGGATATAATTAGAAAGTGATCTCATTATCTAATTACACTAAACAATACACCTGCTAAGCTTATGCAAATCCAAAAGGATCACATAACTCCAATGCAATTTCAGAACCCTTCCCATGATTTAAAAAACAAACAAAAAAAAACCCACAACTATAGTTAATAAGGGAAAAAAATAATAATGATTTCCTGCGATGAAATACACAGCTATAGGTAATAACAAAAACATGATTGGAAGGAAAACCTAAGCCTATAAATGGACCTCCATGGCAAGATCACCAGGTATTATTTTAACACACTTTACCTTTTGGCACAACTGTCCTTTAATCAATTCCCCTCTATACTCTTAAGTTTAGCTCACAAGCTTAAATATTTACCTTTGTTCTCAAACCAGCGTTTCTCACTGTCTGGTCCTGCCCAGAGCTGCACAGCCTTTTCAGCAAAAACATCCTCTTAGTTTGCACTGTGGCCCCCTTCATGCCTTTCCTGCGGACTGATGGAGGGCACTAGAGTATGGCTTACCTAAAGCAATGAATGGGGCCCAGGAAGCCCAAGCAGGGACTTTGTCACTGGAAAGACTGTGAAGTGCTGGGCAGGGCACAGAGAAGATTACTTGAAGGTGGTTCTTACCTCGCCAGTAATTTTATTTACAACAGCAATAGATGCTGGGACTATAGTGGGTGGGAAAAGAAATGCTAATCTTTCAGCAACAAATGTCCCCAGGACCTTACAGTGGACAGGATTAATAATATCTGGCTGCCCTTTTATATATCTCTGCAATAGAGGTTCCAAGAACACCAGATTATTGGACGATATGTGATTGTTAGCAGTGTGAGAAGTGGTGAGATACACTACAACTATGCCTGGATTCAAAATAAGAGGTATGAGCCAGTATCCTGTGTGCATTGTAAGGCTTAGTTTTCATTTTTGGCACACATGTACCTTTTAATTCGAGCTCAAAATGGACACTGTGATCCTTAAAGTGGAAGAAACAGCAAAACAAAACACTTTTAGGCCCCCAGGAGCGGTTTTGTCTTAATGTGCAAGTATGTCTAGCACATTATGGCAGATTTGCTTATCAAAGAATTCTCCTCCAGCGCTGCGATGTCTGCGCTCCCCTCCATCGCTTCCATCTTCACCTGGTGTTCTTCCGGGTTTCGGGTCCGGCGGGAAAGAAACCCAGTGTGTCTCGTCACACTGGGCAATTCAATCCCAGTAGTCCCTTTAAAGATGTGGCTGCTGCACCCTTTGAAGCTAAAGCAGACCTTTACCACCCTTCACTAAAAACCACCTCAGCATTAAGCTCTGCATGCTGATATGAAATCATCTCACATTCATTCGTTAAACATAGTTTTCTTTTACTTACAATTACTGGTCCTTTTAGGCATTAGTGATGTAATGTGCCCAAGCGTTGCATCCTGGGAAGGTTACATGAGCAGAGCATTGCTGGGAAATGTAATCTGTAATCTCACGAGATCTCAGGGAAAGGCATTTTCCTTCCCTGAGATGATGTGCATGGTCACAGGTCCTAGTCACATGTGCCAGAGTTCCAGGAAGTAAGATGAGATATATTAATCTGCCCTTAGTAAAAAATGGCCACTGTCAGAAGACTGGGGAAGAAAAGAGAAATAAGGAATACAAAGAAGGCAATTATCTAGAAGTATGTGTTTGTAGATTGTCATTACTAAACATTTCTAAAGATGTATTTTTATTGTCATTTTAAAGATATGGGTAAAGTTTCTCTTTAATGCCCGGGTGGCAGTGGCTGCATCTGTAAGCGGCAGCCCGCATGTAATCGTATGTGATATGATTACATTCAATTTGGAATAGACTACTATTGCTAAGATAAAATAACAGCACAGTCATAATCATAACAGCATAATCATACCAGGCAGCAAGAGTGACAAAAAGAAGAGATGAAAGAAAGCGAAAAAAAAGAAAAGAGAGGGCCCCTTCTCTTCCTCTTCCCCTTCTCAGCTCCTTCCTCCCTTTGCCATTACCCTCTTGAGGGCTCAGCACCACCGCCATCTTAGTCTTGCCGCTTGCCGCCATCTTAGCGCCCTGCGCCTCCTTTTTAGGTGGTCTCCCGGTCATTGCTGGTTTTCAGTCCGGTGTTGGGGGACTCCCCGGCCACCTTCTTTGCTTGCTATAATCTGCCCGCTTATGTTCGCTACGGGAGCGGAGGTTCAGTTCCGTACTAGGTGCGAGGCTCACGGACCGGACATCCGATCCGCCTTACTTCGCGCATGCGCCCCCCTGAAGCTAAAGTTTAATCTGCTTAGAGTTGCCTTCCTCTGGAATAGACTACTATTGCTGGACTCATCTCTCCTCCGGTATCTACCTACCACTGTCCAGGGACAGTGATCTATTTCAAACCCCATGTCATTGCATTACATACAAGTACATGCGGAATTTTAGGCATCCACTGCAATAGAAATTTTTGGGTGAAATATTCCCTAGGGGTTAACTACTACTTCTAAAGGGATGCAGACACTGCAACTTTGCTCATTCGAACACTGAAAGCGCTGCAGGCAGTTATAATGTACCCAGACCCTCTCAAGGCTCAGTCTGGAAAAGACATGGTAGAACAAACAGGTTTTTCCTCAGAACAGAAAGATCAAAATCTGCAACAAAGTGTTAAAATTCTTGCAACATACATTGATCACCTGGAGGGGGTTGTCTTTTTCGGAACAAATATAGCATTACACTTTAAAAAGAGATTATGCAGTTTACAACAATTTGCTTTGAGATGTAAGAATCATAACATCGCATAACAGCAAGTACCACTGTAATAACAATTTGTTTATCACCAACCCAATTTCATTAATATACTGTATATGAAAATACCTTCTTAGGCTGTGGCTGTTCCACTTTCGGTACAGGCTTTGTGACATGCTCTGGAAGTTTTCTTCTCCTAATAGCTCTTTCATTTGCAGTTTCCACTTCATTGTCCTCACTATCTACATTACCTTCAGACTCCTCTGCCTCCTGCTGGGTGAAGTGAAAAAAATCAGAGATTATGGAGCCAGCCTGTTTTGTTTTTCCAGTTTGTGGCAATGTGATGATATAGGAAATGGTGTCATACCTTACATTCTGATATTAATATTCATCCTGTGGAATAGGGTAAAGAACAACACAACAACTTGAGGATACAATCTAAGGGCTGTCACGTTTCATTTGCTGTGTATCAAAGAACATCTCCCAGAGAAACATTGATGTTAAATTACCATGAATATAACTGCCAAAAGAATCAATTCTACATTAACTAGCCCTATTTCATAGGTGGGTCTTATAACTGGGTGACAGATGGGAGGGAATTAGAGAAAGGCTTTCTCTAATTCTCCATATCTCACACCAAAGATAATGCCCTTTTTCTTTGGACATTTAAAAAGCTTTCGTTTCCATCAGCTAGGATTACTTAAACTACATCATCCAAATGTGGGAGTTTGGACCTTACTTCTTGCATGGCAAGATTGACTTATATTCCTCCCTGACAGCTTTTATTTACAGTGGCCTCTGATCCGACCATTTTTCTATACCCTGATTTCCCTCCCAAATATGATGTCTATGCTACAGCAATTCAGGGATCTCTCTGGTCTTCATGTTACTATAACTAAACCAAACACTCACAAAAACTAAATTATTTCCTTGCCCAATCATCCTAACCAGTTCCTTCAGCAGTCTTTTTCTGTTACATGAGGGTACCCTCTACTCTACCTTATCTGGGGTTAGAGTGACACTAAACTCAGGAGGTAAACCTTAATGCATTCAAGTACCTTAACTATTAGCAAAAATGTATCTTATTTGTGTATCACTCCCTCTCTGAATTGGTGTTGACAGTGTCCTTCATTCTGGAGGGTGGCTACTTTTGTTTCCCACTGTCCCTATGTGTGTTGTAAAGTAGCCACCGCTCCAAGCTCACTTCTGTGATAGACTTCACTCTCAATACAAATTAGTAAACGAAACATGAGATTGTAGTCTAGCACAGGAGTAAGCTTGGAGTGGTGGTTACTCTTCAACACACACAGGGACCATGGGGAACAAAAGTAGCCCCCCCCAGAAGGAAGGACAGTGTCCGCACCAATTCAGAGATGATTTGAGGATCTACAGCTGAATGATAAACAAATAAGATACATTTTTGTTAATAGTTAAAAGGTACTTGAATGCATTTTCAAGGTTTAATGACACTTTAGTGTGACTTTGACCTCACGTCCTCCTACGAAACACTTTACCAGAAAAATTACCCTAAATTGTACACAAAATGCATTTGTTCGCTTCGCTTCTTGGAAAGGCATCATATTTCTTAACTAGGGAGAATAACAGAATATGTGAAACCACTCACTTTTATCGTTGGCATTGTCAAACCTTTTTTTTTTTTTACCAGATGTTGTATCCTTTAAAACTCTCAGGGACAAGAATACACTTAAAGCAGTAGGCATCTTTATGTATTAAGCATTTCCTCCAAACACTGGCAGGTTCTACTCAAGATTTATCCTCTCAAAACGTTTGGGTTCCCTGGCCTGACCTCTATACTTTATACTCTATTGCTGCATAAGCTCCAGAATACTCCTCCTTCCCATGTACCCAAGTGAGAAGGCAATCTTGGTAGATTGGTGACACCTGAAGTCTGGAGTCAGATCTGGATTAGCACAGCTTGCACGTCTGGGGCTGCATTTCTGCCAATAGAGTTGCGGATTTGGTTCAGGATCAATGATGTCCTCAATGCTGAGAAATACAAGCAGATACTTATCCATCATGCCATACCATCAGGAACGCGTGTGATTGGCCCCAAATGCATTCTGCAGCAGGACAACGACCCCAAACATAAAACCAATGTCATTAAGAACAAGGAGTCCTGGAAGTGATGGTTTGGCCCCCACAAAGCCCTGATATCAACATTATCAAGTCTGTCTGGGATTATTTGAAGACAGAAGGATTTGAGGCAGCCTACATCCACAGAAGATCTGTGCTTAGTTCTCCAAGATGTTTGGAACAACCTAACTGCCCAGTTACTTCAAACACTGTGTGCAAGTGTACCTAGAAGAATTGATGCTGTTTTGAAGGCAAAGGGTGGTCACACCAAATATTGATTTGGATTTCTCTTCTGTTCATTTACTTCCCATTTTGTTCATTGATAAAAAATAAACTATTAACACTTTTATTTCTGAAAGCATTCTTACTTTACAGCATTTCTTCACACCTGCCTAAAACATTTTCACAGTACTGTGTGTATCTGTTCCCTTTTTTATAGATGTTGGGATTACTGCATTTTCTTTGTTGAAATCAATAAAGATGTATTGATAAAAAAAAAAAAAAATATTAAAAAAACTATACATTGCCTTTGAAGTTAAAAATAAAAATATGCATATACTGAAACGTAATTTGATGTTAAAAATAAAAAAAGGATATCTGGTTGCTTGCCAAACAATTGCCCAATGCTGCAGTCTGTACATTACTTAATTACTGCCTGACAATTTAACCCATTTTTCATCTTATGGCTTTCCAGACATATTTCAGATTTTTGCCAACTTGCTTCTTGTCATCTACATACATAATTTCCATTGCGGTCTTTTGAATGACATAGGCTTTATTGTGCTTGTACTTTTATTCAAAGCATTGCAACAGAATTCGATATCAGCCATTTCTCCGATTGAGACGTGTGTAAAAAAATAAATATTTACATTCCAGCAGACCACACAGCAAAATCAAATGAATCTAATGCAGCTAAAAACACTAACCAGCTATGTGCAAGTCTGATCAGACACAAACGGCTATAAACTTGTATTACAGTGCATATACTATGATCCTTTTTACATTTGGCAGACCAAATGTTTATAAAAGTAACTGCTCACTGTAGAAAGAGAAATTCTGTATGCAATTATTAACACATAAGAACTGTCACCTCACATCTGGACTATCATATCCAAAGCAGACATGCTGTCTATGAATCCTTTATTTCTCCTCAATAGTTTTAGATAACATTAGGGGTGCAGAAGAACTCAAGTCCACCATTTAAACTGGTGATAAAAATCACATAGCTTTCGATTTTAACTATCATGCTGGTACCAAAGGCAAATTTAGGCTGGTAAAGCTGAGGTGAGGTGTCTGCTCATGGAGAGGAAATAATAGATTTAAATTTTGACAAGTTCAGCCCATTGAATAAATGTAACTATTAAAGAGAGAGCATTCCTTCTAATCCTACTTACACCAAGTTGATGACCTTGAGTTAATTTCCAGGTTTGGCCTGTCATCCTATAGAAAGTTTCCTCTTGTTTTCTAAGTTTTTCAGCTTCACGTGGCTTTAAAACATCCTCAGAGTATTCCCTTGCCTGTCAATGAGAAATACTCAACATGAGTACAGTATCTTCTGAGATGGACAAAGTGTTATAACATTCTTACAACCCAGCACAACTCACTAGAATGCAAAAAATAAAAAATGATTTATAACAAGCACTTCTAAAATGACACACACTGTAAGGTTTGAGGAATTTAAAATGCATACTATATACCGACGATTTACCAGTGACAAAGATTTGTAATTGTATGCACATACTTTGTCACCCACCCTATGCCTTCTGTGCTATATAGGTGATGACAATCTGAGCCTACAGTCTGTGCCATTGCCCTATCTGCTTCCTGTCATCATCTGTGTTGATGCTTCCTTGGCGCAAGATGGTGTTCCTAGAAAACTAGGTTATAGATAATAAAAAGGTCATTTAAAGTGTAAGCCCATCAAAAAGTTTTTTTGGATAGAGTGGAGAAGGGTTAAAACCTCTGTCAGGATTTAGTGCTATCCGGGGCTCTGTCGTACTTCCTGTTCTGATTACAATGTTTTACCAGAAAGGAAGTGAGGCAACACGTGCAGAAATAAAAATGGAGGTAAAGCCAAGAACGCCTATCAGAATATTATTTTTGCCTGTGTTCCTGTTGTAGATTTTCCCTCACTTCCTGTCTGGTATAACCCTTGACAGTAGGACAGGAAGTGTGCTCCAAATAGCAACAAAAATCTAGCAGACGTTTTAATCCTCTCCTACACTATCCAAAAGTAGAAAACATTTTTTAGCTTAACATACACTTTAAGGGAGTGGAGAGATCTGGTACACTTTTTCTAATGGTGGTGTGCCTCGTGATTTTTTTCATGAAAAAAGTGTGCCTTTGCACAAAAAAGGTTGAAAAACACTGCACTACAGCAATGCATGAATGAACATCTGAAGCCGTAGGCTGGCAGGCTGAGGTTAGGACATTTCAACTAGGGATGTTCAGATACCAAGTACCATACTCGGTACAAGTACAGATACTTTTCGAGCTCCAAGACTAGACTAGAGAAAAATTCAAAAGTTAGTAGGCAGCTGACATTTGTAAGGAGTATGCAAAGCTCCTGGGATTTGTACATCTGTTTTTAATGCATGATTTTTAAAAAATATTTTAAAGAGATGCGCCAATATCATTTTCACAAGTACTGATACTTGCCCAAGTACTCACAGATACAAGTACTGATACATTTTTGTTTGTCATGTGATCGTTTTTCTAAAACAATACAGACTAATGATTTCAGGACAGTGGTGGAGCGTCAGAGCCAGGTCCCAGCTGCAACCCTGGTAGTTCACGTGAAAATGCCAAGTATCGGCACTGGTATCTGAACATCCCTAAATTTTCTGATTTGCCTGGAGTGTAACTGGAGGCTAATGAAAATAGTAGGAAAATCTGTAAATTTGTTAAACATTATTACACAATATGCAAATTTAAAGTGATCATATTTAGCATGGAGTGGAAAAGAGTTAGACCCTTTGCCAGTTTTATTGCTGGCCGTGTCCCATGAAGAGATTTCTCCTTAATTCTGGTTTCGTGGGGAAGGGTTTTAGTTGTGGATGTTAGGCTTTTGCTGACATCTGTCCCCTCCGGAAGAAATGTTTAACTCAATTAGGGCGGCAACAAATAATCGATTAGAATAGATATTGAGAATCATTAGCAATGATTCTCATTATCGATTAGTTGATTTTCGATTGGTTGCACCTGCTGCCGCAACTCTGCTTCTTCGTTCTCCTCCCCACTGGTGTTGGCTGCAGCAGTCTGTGTCCCTTTCACTCCCCGATGCTCTCACTACTTGTATCGGCAGAGGCAACTGGGACACAGACCGCTGCAGCCCGTACCAGCAGGGAGGAGACTCCGCTGTGCCTCTGCATTACCCAGCTGGTGCAGTCGTTCCTCTGTGCTGCCGCCCTTCCTCCGCTGCTGCCCCCTCTTCTGCCAGCGGTAGAAAGCCGGCGTCAAAGCTCCCTTCAGTGGCTAAGAGCAATATCCAGTCTGCTTTTGGTTATTTTAAATTGCAATAGCCAGTTGCAGGCTGGCTATTGCACCTGCCCACTGTCAATCAGCAGAGGAGGACCTGAAGGAGAACTTTCTCCTTCAGTTCCCCCCTCTGCTGATTGATAGCAGGCAAGTGCAATAGCCAGCTTGCTATTGGGTATTGCAATTCAAAATAACCAATAACAGAATGGCTATTGCTCCAAGCCACTGACTGTTGTGTTGACATACAGCTGCTTCAGCAGCTGAATCCAGTGAAGTGGGAAGGTGACACTAGGGGTCTAAAAGACCCCTAAAGTCACCATAAAGAGAACCTGTCACCTCCAATATGCCATCACATAGGGAGCTTGTGTGCCACTTTTGGTTTCGGCCCGAAAACTCTGCTCCAGAATGTGCGTTGTGGTGCCCTTAATTTCAATGACATTCCAAGCGCACCTCCTGGCCGCAGTGTGATCACCTGTACATCATTACCATGCATTCCAGTGCATTTGGGCATTTTATTTTAAATTTAAGGATGGTATTGTTTTAATCCGATTAATCGAAAAAATTAATCGGCTAATCGATTATGAAAATAATAGTTGCAGCCCTAATCTCAATTACTCTCCAGGGAACAGTGTCCACCAGGACAGGTAGTGAGAGGGAATTTCCCCAGTGGGGGCACACTAAAAACCTGCCCCAAGGTCCAATCCTTCTCAACTCCATCAAAAACAAAAAGCCGAAGTTTCACTTTAACAAGGAAAATCGGGTAGTTCATTTATTAGAATATTCTCACCTTTTTTTTTAAATACTCCTGTTGACCTTTTCTTGTAATTTCTTGCTGTCTGTCCATTTCATCTTGCGATACTAAAGATGTAATTAGTTAAAAAGATTAGCTGTATACAGAGAAGTTATGAATGTCACCAGTACCTAGGGACAAGCCAATGTGAAAAGTGAGTCCCACTTATATTTCAAGGGTGGAGGCTCTAAATTTGTCAACCGCTCAGGAAAGTGACCCCAATCTTCCACATAATAGAGCCTCAGGATTACCCCCCCTCCCCCTCAAAAAACCCTTATAAGTATAAAAAGGACACAAAAAATAAAAAGATAAATAGACAATGGCCTATATTGTATACTAAGGATTCACTATTAGAAATGCTAATGTTGGGGTTAATTGACTTAAGGAGTAGCGCATGTTCACTTTGCAAATGAATGAGGTGAATTTGCACATGATTGGGTATCCTATGCAAAGTGAATTTTCCACTCCCATCAGCTCATTCACTAAGATAAGTGAAAAGTCACTTTGCTGAGTAAAAATACTCTACTCATATGAACCCAAGTAAAACTATTTAAAGCTCACCTTTTAATAACTGTAAAGATATCTCAAAACTTGTTAATTATGAACTGAATTGCCATTGTTCTCAAAAACAAGTACATACAAGCCATGCCTGCTGTTACCGACCTGTAAGGAGTTTATCCCTCATAGACATAGGGTATAAATGCCAGTTCATGCTAAGATGAAAGAAGCTTGCAGATTCCCCCCTCTAGAGTCTACCTACTGATCAGTGAGACTGCTTATCACTAGGGTAACCTTTAGTAGGCTTGGCAGGCAGGAAGGGGCCATGCAGAACGTTTACAGAAAAGCAGTAGATCTACATACGGATTCAACTGCCTATATTTCTGCATCTCCCTAATATTCTGGCATTTAGTTATGGGCCCGTTCAAATTAGTGTCTATTGTGTGATGCTAGTGAGGGGCAGTGCCTTGTGTTGTTACAACATGGGCACTCCAGGAAACCTGTACTGATAGAGGTATGGAGGCTGATCTACTGAAAATACTAGTTGTCTGGCTGTCTGCAGCTTCAATGCTTTCCAAGTCGCTGACCAGGAGGAAGCAGAAATTCAAACCTGATTTACACTAGTTGCCCATAAAGCTTCTGAATCAATGTAACAACCTGGCAACAAGTTTTTTGAAAAGCAGAACACAAAAAATGGCAGCCTGTCATTTTACAGTACATGGTTCCTTCAGCCACGTTATCTAACAAAAATCCAAATGCTGCAGAATTCAGCAAATTTTCTACAGAGACTTCTGCGCTTGAAAAACTGGGCGTTCTTCCTTACAGCTGCTCACTTAAAATTGGCTGCATGAGCCTGCGTTAATATCATTCAAAGTTTGATTTCAGCAACACGCTTAACCCTTACCAAGATGGCAAAATTGATTAGCAAAAACATTTACGCTATTTCTGCAAGGTGGGAGTGCGATTTAATACTTAAGGTAAATGGTACAAAACACACAATGATCATTTGGCCTTACCAGTTTGGGAATGACTCGTTGGACGGAAAGAGGACAAATATCGAGTGAAATAAGAAATGGCCAATGTAACAAGGGCCAGAATCAGGATGAACCTTCCTCCCCAGAAGGCAATCTCTCTCAAACCTAAAAAAAGAACATGAAAACATGGTCACTGGTGGCAATGATTTAAACAAACAGGCACAATAGTGTTATAGAATATGTCAGATGGGTTGAATTGATTGGTGTTAGAAGCAGTACACAGCTATCAATATGATTATAATCTGCTTTTTCACAGCCTTGAAAGAAAACCTGTAATTACCACAAGCAGGATTTGCTGAGGACATCCATTTTTAATCCCTTCAATTAGTTTTGATTGAAATAATGTAAAATCTGCGCTTATGGAAGGAGTGAA